AGCATTCAACATTTCMAACAGAGGTCGCTTTGYCATTGGTGAGCCAACCGATGTTTTCCAGTTTGGTGGCACGTACTTTGCCATGGCTGAGCAAACTAGAGGTCCGCCATTTTGTCATAATGTTGTGTCAGTGAACGGTGATTTGTACTGGGGATTGGTTTATTATCCCCATATTAGCACCAAAGAACAATCCCGGCGCATTCTCGAACTGTCCTTGGATATTCTGAAAGTGGCAGCCTCATCTATGGAATGAAATTTCCTTGATGATCAAGCTGGGAACTGTTCTCCTGTGCAATGCTTGCTCGAAGCTTGTAATTATCTTTAGATTGCCATTGTTTTTTTTTGTGTGTGTGTCTCAAAACAACGTTGAGAAAGAAAGTGAAAAAAAGTATATAAAAATAATCATAAACTAATTTTCTCAGCTCTTTTAATATATGTTATGGCGTAGCAAATGCGGCCAAATACTGATATGTGATGGTRAAGAATAATTATTAGTAGAGTATTAGTAAACTCTTTGTAACATTGTTTACTGTGAAGCAAAATGTGAAGCAAAATGTTATTCAAACAATAGAGAAGTTGAATCGAGGGCATTATGCTGTGACAGTTGCCCGCAGCAACTTGATGTCCCAAAAGAGATGCAGTTTGAGGGCGCGCGACTATGACGTTTTGAGGAACATCCAGTTTCAAAAGAGCAAATTATTGTGCAAATTATTATTCATCAAAAAATTCTATGAAGCGTCGGACTCTGTGCACTCAAAGTAACCATCCGCGATGAGCACTATCGCATCACATGGCCGACTCTCTATTAAAATAGCAGGTCTAAGTTACCAAGTGATAGTCCAAAAAATTGTGCCTTCATATTTAAAGGGACATGGTCCACCAGCATCCCTTTCGAGCTTTTGTTTATGTTTGAAAATCGAAATACATCGTAATATAAGCAAAAACTTACTCTTTTTTATTCCTTTATCCTATATGAATGGAGATGCTTTAAGATTCGACCGATGGATGGAAACGGATTGCAAATTGATATTCGAAGTCACCTCATTATCCATATATGAAAAATCTCAAAACACGACCGCATTGCATGCTAGTGGACCATGTMCCTTTAATTGAGCTAACATTTGGATTATAATTTTCACTTCTCTAACTCTCCTTGTTCTTCAAAGTGGATAACAATATAGTAAACTATCGGTAGAATATACAGCATTCTATCTGCCAAGACTCATTTATTGGGAAGACTGAGGTTTGATTGGTTGAGTGCTCTATGCGCTCCGAGTCCGATTATCCATATTACACAACAAAAAGCACAAAATATCAATGAAAAAAAAAACAAAACAAAAACAAAACAAAAAAAACAGCAAAACACATATTGACATGAATAAACAACATTACCCTCAAGCATTAACGGGAAGGCAAATGCTACCATCAGACTAAAAGCCACTACTTCATAATTCGCCATAGTTTTTTAGTTCACACCACCAACTAACATTTATACATAGATGGGAAATTTAACTTTGCAAGAAAGACATCARTATTGACTGTTGACAGTTGTGTTTGTCAAAAGTGTTTTGCTATCTKCCAATGGTAAATACAGCTATGCAGCTGGCTTAAACAAAACAGAGGCAAGAGGTAGCTGGATGCAATGCTGGTTGTTGTGAAGAACACTCTTTCGGCTTTCTTGTTGTAGCAAAGACTAGTTGTAAACAATCGTGTAAAGTTGTAAAAAAAAATTCGTGTTTGCATAAATAAACGAACATGGTGGCTGCGTGCTATCTTGCCTGGTGTGAAGGTCCGAGTAAATCGTTTAAACAACGCCAACTACTTGTAAATGATCGTTCACAGTTCTAAATAAATAAAAACAAGCTTCGTAATTAGCAACAAAAGAGAAAAAATAAAGGGCCGTACAGTCTAGGACTGCATGTGACTCAGGCATAAGAAACTTAGGAACATAGAGATCTATAGAACATAAAACTGAGTGTAATTTGAAGCAATCGGATTTTGGTTTGCAAACAAACCCTAAACAGCGCCCCAAAATCTGAAATATTCTATAGAAATACAAATTTGACTGCAAATGCATGAACATTTGTGCCYAGCTCTGGACAAAAMATTGTTTAAATACATCGTAATGCGATAAAATAACAACTATCAACTTCGAAAGTACAAACACGTCGCTAGAGAACGCACATGGTCARGRYAACTATCAAACACGTCGSTAGAGAACGCACATGGTCAGGCCAAATCGATYTTTCCTCGTAAATTTCAGTCRTAGGAATTTCGTAGACCTCGTAATCCGAAATTACTTCGATTTCGTCGAAAGTACTTCGATTTGGCTACAGACACTCACTCATGGTCGATGACATAGTGACAAGAGGCCTTCCCAGAAGGCCTTCGTCACAAAAAGTGAGGGGGCCCACTTATCAACGAGCCGAAAATTGTGGTTTGGTTTGATTGARGTCTAGCGTCGAAACACAGTGAGTTATTGCGACTATAAGCATGTCAACTTGTTCAGAAAGATCTAGCCTTCCAAAGACGAAACACATTTCGGAAAACAAATCACAGTATCCCCATTTGATGTAAAACATGATGTGAAAACTAAAATCTGGTTCAATCAAGAAACGTTKTGACGGTGTCTGCGTTGACTTTGATGCCTGAATTACTTGTCGTGGCATGTCTTTTACAATGTCTGAGAAATACCCAATCAGTTGCTTTCTATTTTGCTTTGATGCTTTTAAATAAGTTGCAATATCTAGAAGTTTCAAAGAATCTGTTTTGTCCTTATGGATTAACATCAAATGGTCATTACAGCGCCATCTTTGAGCCAGGCCAGCCCCTCGCTGATCGAAGGTGTACCTGGCCCACGTTCTGGGATTCTGAAGGAATGTATTGTATGTATGTTGTGCTGCCTATAGGTCTGACTGGAGTATTATTTATCAGTTTAGACTTAAAACGAGCGAAAAGGAGAAAGAGCTGCCTTATATATAATCACGCGAAATGACAAGTGAAACGGGATGGATGAGAAGTGAAGACAACGGAAAATAAACGGGAGAAAAGCGAACTGAAGCGGGAAATCAGACAAGCGGAKAAGAAAAGCAAAGTGAGAAAGACGACCACAGAAAAGCCATTCAAAGACAACGTAAACGATTCAAAAGCTAGCACTTTCGAAACTTTAATGAAATTGCGATTAGATCATTAAAAAGCCACAAAAATGGTTAAAAAATTCTCCACAGAGACTTACTACCACTCGTTTTGAATACTAATAGAAAATTAAAAATGGAGAGAACACAGTGAAAGCACCAAAAACAATCAATCTTGATCAATGGGTTCTGAGCCAACGGTAAAGGATTTCCCATAAGAACCCTAGAATCGTTACAGCCTTTGCTACATACAACTGTGCTACCACAGATGTAAACTTGTGAACACTAATAGGTCCTAATACAGTATGTATCGGGTATAGCCTGTGTACATCTTTTCCATGCACCCCTCCCCTGACTGGGAAAATTCTGGCTGTTGTCGTAAAATGCCACACCCTTGGGCACAACTTAATGATCAAAAGTATCGATCGCCAACTAGGATAATATCGATGAAATAAAGGGCATCTACAACTTCCACAAGAGATCAGGAAAAACGGTACTGATGAGCACAAAAGCTATCCTCTTCCTTCAAAACTGTCTTGACTACACAATGAATTTATATAGTTCTATGGTCTTCACGTGACGTCACTTACTACATATAACTAAGTAAGCTTATGCACTTAGCAATGTTAAGCCCCACCGGCACCAGACCAGCTACTACTGCCCCAGGGTCGGGCATTTGTCAATTATTCAGTGCCCCGGGGTGGGGATATTTGCTGGTCCAAGTTGGGCTACCTGTGTATAGAGAGAGCTGGGCGCGTACTTGGTAAAAGTGCCACTAGAAGCCACCCCGCAGATATACCATAGCACATGACTTGCAATATTGCAGAGGTCACGGAACGTCTTTTGTTTGTTATGAAAGGGAGCCATTTCGTATGTGCGTTGGCCTATACTGTTAAACTAATTCACATTTAGGAAGTCAAGGAAGTATACCTCAGAGGCATATTCGAGTTCTTTCGGTGGCAATCTACTCCCCTCAGTAGTAGGCAAAGGATGTTTCGACCCCCGAAAATAGGTGGTAGGTGGTAGGTGGTAGGAGGTATGCTAATGAGACGTTGGTAGAATACTAATGAGGTTCCCCGCATTGGTAATTTATGCCCCGTCCAGTAGGTGGTATAAATTATTTTAGTAGGTGGGTATGCTAATGAAGTCAAAAGTGATAGGGGAGGGGTGGTCAAAACGAGTAGGAGGTGATTCATTATCATAAAATTGTGGGCAATCTAATTATGCAACGTTAGTGTTGATAAATCGAGGGCAACCTAGTCATACAACTTATGTGTTGGTAATCTAATTATGCAATGTTGATAATATTTTATGTCAAGGTTCAGCGATCGCATAAATTAGTATCTGAAGAAAAGGTTAATGATCACTTTTGTTCTGAGACAATAGGTCACCTGCTACAGGAGTTTGAATAACCAAAAATTATGATTTTCAGCCTTTTTATATTTCTAACTATTGATTACTATACCTCACTTATATTGTAAAGGCATTCATTACTTTGAAAACTTCCGAGAGGCCCGGAAAGGACCGGAAAGGCCCGAAGCAGTCCGAAAGTTCCGGAAAGGCCCGAAGCTGTCCGGAAAGGCCCGAAGCTGACCGGAAATGGCCCGAAGCTGACCATAGAATGAGCTCCTGTTTCATCAGCATTTTAAAATAAGCAACAACAATGCAATCATTTATTTCAGTTGGTTTTTATTTTTCAATTCATCAGTGATTACAATATCACTTAAGAAAGATCGTAAACAGATGTCCTATGTTGCGAGGCGTGACTTAGTGTTTTACAATTCTTACATAGTTTGGAGTAACTTTTCGCGGTATCATAATTCAGAGCAAATTTATGTTTACAAATCGGGCAGGTTAAGATCATACTGAAGCGAGGAGATGGATTTGAYAAAGCATCGTGCCAATGRCATTTTGGGCATGCAGCTATCATTTTTACGTCAACATCTTGGTGATCGCAATGATCGCAACGCTTTTTGTCATTTGGCTCTTCTTCTTCACTTTCTTGTTCTGAATTTTCATCCTCCTGCTCTTCATCTTCGTCCAAAGCTTCATCTGATTCTGAATCTTCCGAATCTTCTTCTTCGGTTTCCGAATGTTCGCTTCTGATGGAGCTTTCTTCGCTATCATCACTATCGGTGATTTCTTCAGAGTGACGATTCAGTATTTCCTCCTTGTCAAGAATT